AATGGGCATTAAACATTCTTTGAAGATGAGAAAGACATTTGGGCGACAGAAATCGTCAACTTGTGTTAAGCATACGACGTTAAGACAGGATTTTGGAATTAAGGAGCATTATTTCCCCACAACTGGGTTTTCGTGATTAAGACAACGTAATGTATGCTTATAAACATTCAAAAGGTGACTAATCTTTAAACATATCATGATGATGTAATTAATATCTGTTGTTTAGGAGTTCGGAGAAGAAGAAACATCAACTGCAGCAACGGTAAGTATGGACACGTGTCTGTCCATATCCTGTGTACATTTTGTTCATCACATGTTTAGCATGTTTCACTTCAGTTAAAAACAATGAAAATCAGTTATGTATGTCTTGTTATTTATCCATTTCCTTTAATGCAAAAGTTTTTATTACTTAAGGTTTCCCGTTTCTATATGCTGCATATATATCACTACATCTTTATATCTTTCATGCATGTGTCACTCCTTTTTCGCTTTTATTACTGATTTACCATTTTTTTTAGCATGTCTTAAAAAATCACGGTATATCAACAATCATTTTCGGAGGTGATGTACATGTATGAATTCTTTGTAAAAGAGCTCAAAATTCCGTCATTCCACAATTTTCATCACCCTGCAAAACTATTTGCAAATTGTTATCATGCTTTATAGAAAAAGTTTACTGATGTTTTATTTTTGACATCGTTCGTCAATTCTTCTTCGCATTTCTTTGTTACCATTAATTTCATATCAAATAGAAACATATATCATTATCTTCGTATCATCTATAACTCCTGTTTTTGTTATACAACCTGTACTTTTGTTAACAAATCTTGGCTTTATATCGCTTTGTTAGGTCCGTAGAGATCTTCAGAGCGTGCTCGCCACCATGACCAGTAACGACGCTTTCCAGCATCTTTCCAGCTCCGATCAAAACTTGATGCTGGATCTCGCAAAGGCAGCCGAGCATGGAAACGTTACAGCCTTGATCGACCAAGTCGGATATTCAAAGGTTCTCGCTTTGGTGGAACGTAAGTTATCATTGTTATACATTTAGTAACTATTAATTCTGACAGCTTAATTCTGTACTGACGACTTTTCTATTGATGCTTTGAAAAATTAATATACTTAAGTGCTGCCAAAAACCCTCTTGGTGTTATACCAAACTTGCAATAAGCCACTTTGAGAAAATAGATTCAGTCATATCCATGTGAACTGCACAGAAATTATTACCCCGACTAAACTAGTTTTGTCTGAAGATAGTATTATTGTTTATAAGAGAAAAGTTCACGTCATTCTTATAAGTATGACATTTCCGTAACATTGTTAAATAATTGTTTTCGAACTGATCTAAATAAAACGTTGTGTCCATTCTTCAGATATCACGGCACCGGCTGAGACTCACACTTTCCTGCAGTATCTAGCCTCAGTAAGTATAAATCTGTGTCATAACAGATAACAATGTACATTTATATCTACATTTCTTAAGCCTCCATTCCCTCCCTACACCCAACTCCTTCTTAAATATTTTTCCAGAGTTGTATTTACACTTAATATGACATTGCATCAAAACCTACGATGACATTTAAGAATTTTGTCTACAATCAGTATATATTTTCATGTTTTTCACTATCAATTTTAGCATATGGCCAAAGAGCTCGGACACCACCACCATAATGGTCCTATTGCAGGGTAATGTCATGAGTTTGTCTACATTACTATGTTAATGAAAAACAATAAAAACATAGTATATTCCTATTCTGTTGATTTGTATTTTGTTACGAAAAACATATAAATCATTTTTCCGTTAAGAAGTCATATCGTTGTTACCTGCTATCTATTTTGCATATTTTGTCCGTTATTTAAGAAGCCTATATAATATAAGATATTTATTCAGTAGTACAGTAATTTGCTATGTGTGTTTGTTTTCGAAATGCAATACACACATATTGATAAAATTTTGATGCTAGATCTGAATTGATGAAACTTGTACAAATACTGGAGGAAAAAGGAAAGATTTACAACGACTCCCCTAAAAATGTATAAAAGAGAACGAAGAATATTATGCATGTCACATCATTACAGAAACTATTCACTGCATATGTTTAAGGTTAAGATTACAGAGATCACAAAATTGTCAGCCTAACAAACTGTCATTGTACAATCAAAGTAACCAGTAACCAAGTTACTTTTCTTTGCACAAAGCCTCAACACAAGTAGATTATGTTATTGTTGTAGTTGGATTTTTATTTGTGATGAACATGATGCATATAAAGTAGAATCGTCTACACATTCAGCCAGTTTAATCTACAATGGTCAAATCTCTAGACTTAAAAACTCATTGAAGCGTTATACATATCCGACTTTTTTTTTTAAATAATAGGAATATGCGTTATAACTGGACTAATGGCCACCGAAATGAAATTTCGGACAAACATAATGTTCCCTATGTTATGTATTATTAACACATGAAACTGTTCACAACTAACCGCTGGTTATCTTATCAGTCTTTGAACGATGGATACCTGGTGTTCGAATGGCTATTGAAATGCCCTGATTTTTCACCAATTTGATATGTTTGGGACGTTCTTTGGTAACGCCTGATAATCCATCAGAATCTGCTATGATTACATGTCTTTCAGCCAAATGATCAACATACCAACCAGTAACGATAAGGTCTTTGAATTGTTTGGCTGGTTACAGGTTTGCCATCTCTTTAACTCTTCCCATCTCTACGTGTTGTCTCACCGAAGAACGTCAGTGCTCTGGCGACATGAGGAGGCGACCCGAATTTCTCTCATGAAGTTCCTTGAAATAGCATTCCTAATGACAGATATCTGAATAACCACCTTGTAGGAATAGCTGATCATAATATTGTACCATCGTGACAATCGAGATTTTTATCAATGTCATGAAGTACGAACGTATTATATTACCACTTTCTGTTTTGTTGAAGTTATCGAGTATAACTACAATAAAACTTCAGTAAATTAAATACTTAGACCAGTTCTGTACAATTTACTCGAGTTAAGTCGTAGTTAATCCCGATAACTTAAACAAATTACCTTGTAGAATTAGAAATCGTATATTTCCAGCATATTCTTTCAGGCTTTCTGATGACACAACTACAAAACGAACAATTCTTTTTCCAATAGTTCACATAAATTCATATATCACATGGTAAATACAAAATGTAGAAAAATATATATAGTCGACACTACCCCCACCCCTACTAGTTAAACGAATATCAACAGAATAGTATAAAAAGAAAATCCTTGCCCACGGCTCCATAAAAAGATGAACATTTGGTGTATAGAGCTCCGTTTACCAGTATTAGAAATAGTTAAAATGAAATATTGATATCATGATAATAAACATATATTGTTACATCATTATTACATACATAACATCAAACTAAACACAATTAAGAAAACTTCTATATGTATATATTATGTATAAGATGAATGGTGTCTTATTATTATGTTTTTTTATATTTGTTTGTCTATTGTTCCTATTTAGTCCTCTAACTCACACCAAAAACAGCAAATAAAATCAACTGATACCTTTGCATGCATACATGTATTTACATAGCTCTGAGATAATCAGCACTGCCTTCCCATGACACCTTCTGATCATGATACCGTGATTTCTAAAAACTTTGATGACATTTATATATTCTAACTACATTAGCATTGTATATTACGAATATGTATCAACCAGGAACCTTTGATTTCGGCCGGGTAGAAATAATATCGACCGAAAGCAAAGAAAACATGGTTACAGCCGCGACTGTTTGCGTACCTGCAAATTGCAAAAGTAATAATCATAGAAGTAAGCTGGTATTAAAGAAACGTAAAATTGAACAAGTAATATAAAAATGCCATCTCTAATCATTTGAAAGATAGACAAAAACCCAGAAGCCACATTACTCATATATATTACATATACAATAGTTATAGCGCTATCAGCTGAATTATGAATTGGTCCTTCACAATATATAATGCACATCCAAAAACTATACAAAACGTCATTTGTAGATCAAAGTATAACCAATAAGCTAAAATCTACAATGATATGTGAGTTGGTATGCCTTTTTATATAATGTCGTTAAAACGATGCATACATGTGTTTCCTTCACTTCTACTGTTGTTTTAAAAATGTTTTACCCAGGGCATTTAATTTTGTGGATAAAGATAAATAAATAAATCTACATATGCTAATTCCCACACTTTGTGGACAAATGAATCTGCTGATAAACAGTACCCTGGAAATATATGAAATAAAACTCCAACGAAAATGTTACAGTATTCCGAATTAACCATAAATAATCATAACAATCAAATAAACAAATTACAAATGCAATGGATGTTCTTGAGTCGCTGTAGTACGTGTATGTGCTAGAAAGTATGGAATATTTAACCTCATCAATCCAATTTTAGGAAGACTTTCGTATCACGTGACATGTGCGATATAATGCACACATATGTATGTATGTATAATTTGCATGCACAGAAAGCTCTCAATAAATGATTCCGAAAAGTACAAATTAATATTATAAAAGCCCACGGATAAAAATCCTGTAGTTTATCTTAATCGCAGGCGGTATTCGGACTTACTGCTAGGTTCACAAGATATTGAGAAAGGTCCAAATCGTAGTCCAACTTCTTTGCAAACCTGGCAACGTCACACACAGCTTCAATCACAACTTTCGTTTGTTTTCTCATTAAACAGATTGAACACACTGGTTTCCGTGTTCAACGGTGTTCTATGGGCGTCCCCTTCTTTATTTACTAATGTACACCAGAAGTCCTTCGGGCTAGTCTCTATTTGGAGGAATCGGATTATTCTTAGCAGTTCTGATGCAACGTTTTCTTTCAAATTTTCATATACAAGAATCATACTATTCGTTGTGTAGTGCTTCATCCAATACATATAACTATTTTTCCACAAAGGAAGTTGTTTTTTCAACGCGTGATATCCATTCTGAAATGTAAAATTTATTTCACATAATATACAATAATACATCGTATATCATCGGGTATTCTGGGAAGCTAGTAAGCCAAATTTGTTAATGATTTAAGTTCAACAGTGTGTACGTGACAATCTATCAAAAGCACGGGATCATAACATCAGCATCATAGAGACGTGCAAGATGGATAAAAATAGTGCTACATTATATTCTAGTCTACATATTTGCTTGAACCATTGGGCAAAATTAATTCCTACTCCTACAAAGTCAATCCTACTCCATCAAACCAAATTAAATATGAGCAAAAGATTACACGAAAACTACTTAAAAAGTATAAGGGGAATAATACCAGACCAGATGTTCTTCAACTTGCATCGGTACTATGTGTTGTGAGTTTATCTTTCTGTTGTAATAGCTTCGTGATATTTGTAACAAATTCTCGGATATCGAATCACCTATGGCATGTAAATACCATAAAATGAGGATGCAGGGATGACAAATATTCCAAATCCTGATTTTAATGGAATATTCTAGATATCTTGTACTGATTTATGTGTTTAAGAATTGATGTCAACATAAACACAATTACCATCATTATTATTATTCCAGTATTGAGTTTTAGGTTCAATTATATTTCAATGCCAGCCAAGTACCTTTGTTGTTCATGTTTGACATTTAATAAATTAAGCCATTTTGTTGATTTGAGCTACAGTTGTACATGTCTTCGTTTGTGAAAGAAAGTTCTCGGGTTGATTTACATATTCTCTCTTGAGTTTGGAAATAGGTTTGAATTCAATTAGATTTATCTCCGTTTTTCAACTTATATGGTAAGAAAGGTACAAAAGTAGAATTCTTAAAAAGAATAAGCTTTGTTCCATTTGTACCATATACACAATACATCATTCTTAATACCATTGAAGATCAATGTCAATTTGTACGTTATAATCATTACGTTACGATAAACATAAAGACATAGAAAACATATACAGCTATTGAGGACATAACGCGTCGCTCATGCGCAGATTTCTCACTCCAGCTGAACGATTTTCTTACTAGGGATTATATAGCGGTATTTCAGAAAAAATACTGACATATCGTTTGATAAATTTAAAAAAAAAGAAAAAAGGGTGGAGGGGGTATACTCTGATCAGTAAATTGATCATTTCAAATTATTGAATGATGAAAGATTGTAGAAAAGACACACAAGTGTCCACTGTTTCAATAAAACCAGCATGTACTATGTAAGGGTGTTATCGATAGTTTGGCGATTTAGGTAGCAGTACACAGTTTCTCGGTGTGGCCATTGGTGATCTTTTTGCTCATTAGATTACCCCATTATAAAGGTTTTAATTAAAAGTGAAAAAAAATCCTTGCTAAAATTGGTCCTGTCATGTTTAAGTGGACAATGTGAGGTTTCATTTTTTTTCAGGATAATATTTTAGCTTTGTGTTGGAGATTACCATTTTGGCAGTCTCGAATCTGTGTCTACGCACCAAAATCCAGCTTTACAGGAAGTCAACTTTTAATTGTGTCTACATGTGGTTATGTTATGAAGAATTTCCAGTCACTTTGCTGAAATGTAAGTACTTTGTTACCATGACAGTGTTGTTGATTGTAAGATAGGTGTTAATGGAATTTCTTCCAGAAAGTTGTAGCGTTTGGCTGGAATTAACAGTATTTTTGCATTTTTAGCATTTTTTCAGTATAACCATCACAATTAAATGTCAAAATCATG